TGAGGGAGCTCCCCCCCTATTGGCGGCTTCGCTTCCCGCCTCTTCTGGGAAATGGAACAGGGGAAAGACCAACCGACTGCGGAGGGTGGCGGTGGCACGCATGCGCACTGCTTCTATGCGCGTCCGAGGCCTTTTGCCCGGGGCACGGCAGCTCTCGTGTCACGTGACAGGGCTGCACTATGACGCGGGGCGGCAGTGCTCTGTGAGATGAGCATGACGTCAAGCCATGACGTCAGTCATTATGTCAGAATTGTGAACAGGGGAAAGACCAACCGACTGCGGAGGGTGGCGGTGGCACGCATGCGCACTGCTTCTATGCGCGTCCGAGGCCTTTTGCCCGGGGCACGGCAGCTCTCGTGTCACGTGACAGGGCTGCACTATGACGCGGGGCGGCAGTGCTCTGTGAGATGAGCATGACGTCAAGCCATGACGTCAGTCATTATGTCAGAATTGTTGCACTCTCAGTGTGATGGCCTGGCCTGTCACACACAATGATAATACTGAGTTAAAATATTAAAGAGTGGACCTGCTGTGTTGAGGTTAAGCCCCTGGGTAAATCTTGGCCTTTGCAACATCTCCTAGCGAGGAGTTCCGCAGGTTGACTGTGCATTGTGCGAAGAAATGCTTCCCTTTGTTTGCTTTAAATCCCTTTGTTTAAATTTCATTTGGTGAGCCTTAGTTCTTGTGTTATGAAGAGCAAATCAAACTTATTAACTTTCTCCACATTGCCTCTATATAAATCCACAGTACAGCTACATCTTGAAAAAGATTATATTGGAATTGAAAAAGCTTCAAAAAGTGCAAAAGGATATTAATAACATAGACTTTTCAGCTTGCAAAAGAGACAATTAAGGGGGATAGAATAGAGATCAATGCAATCATTATTTGTGTGCAGAAAGTAAATAAGGAGAAAATCATGGTGTGGGAGTAATTTGGTGGTTTGTTGGAGGTTAGCTTCTTGTCTGGCCAGCTGATAGTGAAAGGGGGCTGAAACTTGATGCTGACAATGCACGGCCAGTAGAAGTCCCATTCTAGCCTAAGATATTTTGAGATTTGTTAAATCAATGTGAGACAATGTGATAGGATTTCCAAACCCTACACTGTCCCAAAAGGGCTAAAGGACAATACTGGGCTCAGGGGTCGTCTAGACTACATCCCTCTTTTGAAAGAAGGATGTAAATGAGACCGTTCGAAAGTGCAAATAAAGCACGGATTTAAATATCCCGCACTTCATTTGCATATTCGTGTCAAATCGCTGTT